CCCCAAAACCCCAAAACCCCAAAACCCCAAAACCCCAGATTTTGTGGCAATATTGAAAATTATTTGAAACATAGAGCTAATTTTGATAAGATGTTGAGTACGAACAACAACTCAGGAAACCAAGCATTGAAGGAAGAAAATCCAGACCAAAGTTCAGTGCCACAAAAGAGTTTTGTGGAAAATTATCTTTATGGGAAAACTAAATTTTGAAAGCATCAGCATTCCTGATTTAAAGAAAGTTTGAAAACGTTTGTAAAATTATTCCTATCTGGCCTTGGTGTGAAGATTGGGTTAGGATTCCTATTGGGACTTTTAAAGACAAGAAATATCAGCAAAACTGTTAGAAATGTGATCTCATGGGATCCAGTAAGATTTGCGGCATTTGTAGGCTTGCTTCCAGCTCTTTTCAAGATTGCTCTTTGTATTCTTAGACATTACAGAAATAAAGACGACAAACTAAATGTATTAATTGCAGCAATATTTTGCTCCTTTTCTGCTTTAGCTGATAACTCAGATGACAGGAGAAAAATTTTAATCTACTACATATTCTCCAGAGCTTTTGAGTCCTTCATTGAAATGGTCAGGTCTCACGAAGTGGCTCCAGTGCCATCAAACTGGGGCCTCTGCTTAGGAATCTTCTGTACCAATTTCCTAAGCTACATGATCTTCTTCCATGGTGAGCTTGTTCCTAAAGGACTCTACAGAATGGGAACAACAGGCGTTGGCTTTAAAGGCAATGAGATGAAGTTGATAGAAGTTGTCTACAGAGGCATTGGAAATAAACCTTAATTGTTAAGAAGAGAGTGCAAGATTTGAGTAGGGATGGATAGTGTTAATTGTGTTAGTTGAGAATTGGTGAGAGTCAGGATGAGGCTTTAGATTAGTTGTTGTTGGTGAGTTAAGCTACCTGCTCATCCTGAACAAAAATTCAGCCACATCTAAATTTAGAACAAAAAATAGCACAAATTTAGAAATTTACTGTCAAAGTTGAGATCTTTCAGGAATTTTACCGGTGAGGTAGCTGCACAAGAAGAAATTCGGGAAGGGAGATAGTAGGGATTTAGGGGATTTTTTTAAGGAGGAAGAGGGGACTAATGAGGTCAGAGAAGTGAGGAATTGGAAAACAATGACGTATTTAGTTTTAAATTGGGTTTTGAGAAGCTTGTGGATTCAGTTTTGTCGAAATTTTGGGGTTTTGGGGTTTTGGGGTTTTGGGGTTTTGGGG